AAAAACACAATCTCATCAAAGATTTTCCAAGGGCGCTTTGACAGGGGGGCTCCCCTGACCTCACTGAATAATATGATCATGAGGTGCAGCAGGTCCTGGTCACTCAGGGGTGGAAGGTTCTGAAAGGGTTGGAAAGGATGTGAAGCAAGAAGCAATGACAGGCTTGAGAACTGCCCCCCCAGAGGCAGGTGGGGGGTGGTGCAGGGCTGCTCTCTGAAAATGTCTGGACAGTTTGACACGCCCACAGATTTACACACACAGTCGCACTAGCTCTGTATACCAGGGAGCCCTGACTGACCCTACGTTCGAAGAAGTCTCAGTCGCCTCCACTTGTTCTCACATAGAAATAGGTCTGAAAACCTTGGGGAATTGGAACGAGCCCCCATTCCCATTTCTTATTCATCAAATGGCAGGGCTTGGGTATCCAGCCTGGCCCTGGGCCGTGGAACACGGAGCTTGGGCCCTGGAGTAGGCTCCGGGTCAGGGCCCAGGCCTTGGGGTGCTTCATGGGGCCCACATTCTCTTCCCTCCTTGTTCCTCTCTTCTCCTCTTCTCTCCTCACTGACCTTTAATTATCTACACCACAGATCTTAGAGACCTCAGAGGTCACGTTGTCTGAACACCTAACTTTACAGGCCATGCTTAGATGAGACCCAGAGAAGCCGACTTTGGGACACTTGTCCAGTTAATGAAAGAGCTGTTCACTAACCATTCATAGCATTAACTTCACAATGCATGACCTTCTCTCCCTGTCTCACTTTCCTGAAGGGGATCGGCCTCCAGGAGGCACCCAAGCTTCCTGCAGAGGTTCACACCTTGCATAGTTCCCCTTTCTGTCTGTGTGACCAAAAGCATATACCGGAAATGATGGAATGAAACTCTGAGATTAGGGCATAAAGGCTATGTATGACTTCCGTCTTGGGTTCTCTGTCTTTCTTTCTTCTTAGGTCACTCACTTTGGGGAAAGCCAGCTGCCATGTCCTGAGGACACTCAGGGAGGTTATGAGAGGCTCAGGCTGTGAGGACAACAGCCAGTAAGGATCTAAAGCCCGGGAGCCACCACGTGACCAAGTTTGCTAGCAGATCTTTCCCCTGTTGGGCCTTCAGATGGTGAGATCCCCAGCCAACACACACAGTGTGATCAGAATACATGGCGAATGTTTAAATTTAAATAATTTATTACAATAAAAGACACACTGCCACGAATCCCCCTCAAAATATTCCCCTTCCACTTTGAACACACTTATTTCATCAGTCTTGCTACTTTCTTTCTTTTTTTGGTAAGGGGATCGAACTCAGGGCCTTGCGCTTGGGAGGCAGGCGGCAGAACCACTGAGCTAAATCCCCGGCCCTAGTTTTGCCACTTTCTGAAGCAGCTTTGGAAGTCCTCTTTTACGAGTGTCTGTATAAAGTGTGATCAAAGTTACGGTGAATGCTGCTGCTGAGAGACATCCAGAAAGGAAGCCTCATAAAAACATGACAGTGCGTCCTCATCCACCTCCTTAACTGTCTGACTCCTGGCTCTTCCCCAAGGCAAAATGCCCAGGAAAGGAAAACATTTTGAATTAATTCAGGGTACTGAGGCAGCCACGACAGAACAATTAAAGACACTCACAAGCTGGGCATGGTGGTGCACACCTGCAATCCCAGAACAGGGGAGGCTGAAGCAGGAGGATCCCCATTAGTTCGAGGACAGCCTGGGCTATATAGTGAGTTCATGGCCAGTCTGGACTACCTAGTGAGACCTCATTTAAAAAAAAAAAAGACACTCAAGAAAGAAGACTTGCAGAGCTGCTTCAGAAAGGGGCAAGAATAATGGGATAAGTGTGTTCAAAGCAAGGGGAGTATTTTAAGGGGGATTCATGGCAATGTGTCTTTACTGCAATAATTTTTTTCAGTAATAATTTCCTAAAAATTTAAACATTTTCGTCAGTTTTTGATCACACTCTGTAACTGCAACCTTATGCAAAACCATGAGTCAGAGCCACCAGCTAAGCCACTCCCAGATTTCTAATCCACACTGCGAGATAGTAAATGTTTATTCTTTTAAGCTCCTAAGTTTAAGCATAACTGGTTATATAGCAATAGAGAAAAACACTGTTTTATTTTTCTTTAGCTTTAAAATGTTTTCTAGAAAAAAAAAATAAGAAGAAGCAAATCTTTGCTTCCACTGTAGCCAGCCAGCAAGGCCTTGCCCTGCCCCACCACAAGGGGCAAAACCACAGCCAATAAGCATGAAGACACTGCCCTGGGAACAGTGCCTCATTGGCGTAGGACTGAGTTGCCTTTCCAGGCCCGAGGGAGAGAATTCCAGTTGGTGGGCCGCTAAAATATACCAGCTCCCTTTATAGAAGTTGTGAGCATGTGGCTAGTGCAAATGTTAACCAAATAAAATGCATAATGTATAAGCCTCATCAGGCTGTAGAACGCGGCTCCTCATTGGTGGCTATTCTGGAACTTACAGGAAGTGCAGTGCCTTCCCACGACTCCAGCTTTCCAGGTGGCATTCCCATGTGATGTCTCCCGGAGGAGGCTGCACTCGGGGTACCCTCCCACCCCCACTCAGCCCCATGTTGGCCATACAAATGCCTCCAAGACAGGAAGTGCCTCGAAAACTGCCTGAGCAAAAAGCATCCTACAGACACATGCCTTTGGCAGATTAAGGTCACATGAGCTTTTTCTGACAGGCCCACTCATCAGAGGGTCCTGAGGGTCCCTAAGTAATGACGTCTGCCCTGTGCAGGCCCATGCCCCCAATTGTGCTCTGTCTCATTTTCTCTCCAGAAATCCTAGAAGGAGAATCTAACCTGGGCTTTCGGGTACCCAGCATTTGTTTCCTAAAATAAGTGAAAATAGGTTAATGCTTTTTTTCCCTCTTGCCCTTGCAGTGTAGATTGAGAGCCTCTGGGAAGCTTTCTAGCTTCTTATTTTAAAGATCCGACAAGAATACAGCTGTTAACTTCCTTTCAAGGGAGGTTTCAGTTGAACACGCCCAGAGGAGGCAAGCAGAGCGCTGGGATCGAAGAGTTCCCTCGGATTGGACAAGGCAGTGAGGTTTGTGTGTCTCTGCCATGCCACGGTGTTTTACCCTACAGGAGAGGGCCAAGTTAACTGGTACTGCTGAGGTGTCACTTGCAGGGCCTATTGAGTGGGACCCGACCACCTCCTCTCTCCAGCTGTTTTTTGTTTTGTTTTGTGTTTTTGTTTCCTGAAGGAGATCAAGATGTAGAAGAAAATGAAGTTAGAGCCAGAAGTCAGTTTCTGCCAACAGGAACAATGGGTACAATTGTGCTTCTCACATAGTAGCAACTGCTGTGAAGGAGCGTTAAACAAGATTATGCACACACTGTCACTACCATGAGAACCTCGCCGTGGGAACTTCCGGTGTCTTCTTTTGCAATCTCAGGGATCTGTGAAGAACATTCCAGAAAAAGAGACAGTCCATAGAAATGTCAGGGAGTGGTCAGTTCTTGGTGATTTCTCCAAACAGAGGAAAGGCAAACACTGTACACACTTCAGGAGCTTCCTCCAAACCGATGCAAATCTTCCTTGGTACAAAAGCCACGTTTTCTCCTTAATTAATTTGAGTCCTGTCTTGCTTCTGGAAAGCTTCCAAGGACAGAGGTTCAACTCTTTGCAAACTCACAGGAAAGAAAGAGACCGGCAGAACCGGGAAATGATCCTCCTTGTGGTTCCTTGCTCCTGCCTTGAAGTGTGCTGGAGCCCAACTCTGCAGTGTCCAAGAGGGGACTCACAGGAGGGAAGCTGTGGTGGATCAGAGGCCTGGTGTGTGCCAACTGGACCCCTGGCTCCAGCGCTCCTGGTTTGTCCTCCTCAGAAAGTCCTTAGCTTCTCCGAGCCTTTGTTTCACTGCTCTCTGATGAAGACAGTCCTCATCTTGTGGGGTCTTAGGGTGAGACTTTAATGAAAGGGTATGTGTGAACGAGGTTTGAACACTGAAAAATGATCTCCAGGTTGCTTTCTATTGTGCCTGGTCAACCACACATAACCCAGGGTTGGCTGAAGAGGCCTTGGCCTGGACCACGCCCCGTGTGAAGCCTCAGCCTGGCCTTCCCCTCTCCCCCGGTCTGCACTTCCGGAGAGCAGGAGCTTGGGCCCGGTGGGCTGCCCTGGGCTAGGCAGACAAGCTGCTGAAGATCTGTCTCCCTCTCCCTTGGTCCACCCGGTAGTGCTGGGCCTCTCTCCTCAAGCTGGGTTTCTGCATTCCATTTCTCACCACCTGTTCGTTTGTTTATAAACCAAGAGTTTCCATAACACCCCCAACCCAACTCCCAGACTCTGCTGATGACTCTCCACTCTGCATCTCCAGCCCTGAGTCCAGTCCCCAGTGCCCACAGAAAACCACTAGCAACAGCACCGAAGACTCAGTTTGTGCAGAAGCAAATCTTTCCCTCAATGGATTCCAGCTCCCAATGATGACAAGCTGGGAAATAAAGAATGTTTTTCACCCTTTACTCTTATTCCTATTACAACTTGTTACAACCTAACTTGTGTCCCCTCTCTGCAGATGCATATGTTGCAGCCCCAACCCCTAATGTCACAGCTGGATGTAGAGGTAAGACCTTCTGGGGGGTAATCAGGTTAAAGGAGCTCATAAGGGTGTGGCCTTACTCTGGGAGACGAGGGAGACTGAGAGCCTCGTAAGAAAAGGAAGTGACATGAGCCCTGTCTCTGTGTCTCTGGGGAGAGGTCTTATAGGGACACAGGGTGAAAGTGCTTATAGACAAGCCAGACAGAGAGGGCGCCAAATAAACCAGCTCTGCTGTGATCTTGGACCAAGATTCCAGAACTGTCAGAAAGTTAAGCGCCCTTTGTTTAAGAAAGTCAGCCAGATTTGGTGGTGCACACCTGTAATCCTAGCACTCAGGAGGCTGAGGCAGGAGGATCTCCATGAATTCCAGGCCAGCCTGAACTACATAGTAAGAACCTGTCAAAAAAATAAAAAAAGGAGAAGAAGAAGAAAGAGCAAAATAACTTACAAGCTGTTGCCAAGCCTGGTTTTCCTTTTAAACAGCTCTTGAAGTCTCCTCCCTCTTCCCAGCTCTTCTCTTGCCGTCCTTCTGCAGGGCTTCTGTCCCTGACATCCCGATTCCCGTCCCTACCTCCCATCACCACCTCGATGTCCTTCTCTCCCACTCATCTGATATTCTAAGATGATCTGGGCTCAGTCAGTCTGGGCTACAGCGCAGCAGCGAACTCTCCGAGGGTCCCCAAAGGTCCCTTCCGCTCCCGGAAGGATGGTGCAAGGTGGAGTCGTGTTCGAGCTGAGGCCTGGAGAGGGAGGTTTGGAAGCTGAGTGAGCAGAGGAGGCGCCATGAGGCACAGGAGCAGGGCACAGAGGCACAGGGGCTGGGTGTCCAGGGGAGGCGGGGGGTCGCCAGCCACACGGACTCTTCACAATAAATAAACACCCACCCAATTTCTCTTTTTTCCCCTCAGTGTGGGGACTGAACCCAGGGCTTTTGCACAGTGCTACATCCCCAGCCCTGTTTCAGGTTTCATTTTGAGACAGAGTCTTGGTGAGTTACTGAGTTGCCCAGGCTAAGTTCAAACTTGTGATTCTCCAGCCTCCCAGAGTGGTGGGCTTACAGGTGTGCACCACCACGTCTGGCTTCTTGGGACAATTTGAGGGGTCTCTGACCTTACAGTCAGGTTTATGGAAACATCAGTCATCAACTTGCTTCGCCTGAGTTTGGTGTGACCTTCCCATTTAGATTTTGGTCTCCTACAGAGCAAGGCTCACACTGGTGACCTCTATGAGTCCAGTGCAGGGGGCCTTGATAAATAACCAGCGGATGGCTCCCACCAAGCCACATACATTTGTTTCCCTGTCATTGTCCTCTGTGCGGCCCGGTCTGGAAGCAGCAGCCTACAGCACTGCACTGGACAATGAGAGAGAAAGCCCAAATTCCCTCTCACAGGCAGCAGTCTCGATGCCCCTTGGCACGACTCTGGGCCTTCCTGATCGCTGCTGCTATCGTGCAGGTCCTGGGGACACGGCTCACTGTCCAGCACCCTTGTAGCCCAGGCTCCACCGGCCCTGTCAGCTTCCCCAGGGTAAGTTGCTGGGCCTCGGACTCCACCTCTTAATGGTGCTGACATCTGGTTGTGGTGAGAAGAGACTAAACATGAAGGACAAGAAGTGGCACAGACTCGGGTAGCAGCTAAGTGCTCACTTGTGAACAAAATGCCCTTGTGTCCTGGCAGCCTCGGGCAAGACTGTCACCATAGGACACTGTCACCACAGGCCACGGCCAAGGGAGCAGATGGGATGAACCAGCTGGTGGCAGCTGGGCCCAGCATCCTGCTTTGGTTCTCTGACCTTCTTCCCCACCCATCCTGCCTCTCTGGCCCCTGAGGGCAAAGCCACATCACTAGGGGTGGGGGATGAGGACAGGAGAGGGCACAGGCGACGTTTCCATGCATGTGTGTGCGCGCGTGTGCATGTGTGTGTGGGAACCATCCACAGAGAGCGGCCTCTGTCAGGTCTTTACAGACGACCCAACTCAGAGCCCTGGCACGCCGTCCTCCTGCCAGGAGCAGAAGGACGGTCCGGATCACAGACTATGCTGGCCCAGCCCTGCTTCTGAGGGAGGGCCCTCGTTTGACATGACTCCCTCCAGGGAGCTGCCCTCAGTCCGGACCCCCGGCTGCCTGTAGCCAGAGGGAGACGCTGGGATCTCTCGGGGGAAGATGCCCGGCCTGTCCTCCAGGGCGAGTCCCAGGCATGGGAGGAGGCGGCTTGGGATGGACTTTGGCTCTGCGCAGCAGTCTCAATCAGAAGCCCCCGTATCCCATGCGGGATTGTGTGCGGCGAGTGCAACTTGCAGCTCACCAACTTGAAAGTGCAACGGTTGGTTCATAGGCTCAAGAAGGCCCCTGGGTTCAAACCCCACCTTCTCCTCTCATCAGCTGTGAACTTCAAGTATGTTAGTTAACTTCCCCATGCCTCAGTTTCCCCATCTGCAATAACAACTAAAGCAGTTGGAGTATTAACAGCTCTTACAATAGTTTCTGGAACCCAGTAAGTGCTATTTATATCACTAACAACCTCCCTGAAGACAAGCACTGGTTCTAGAAGGAGGCTGGCTTTGGAGGCCATGAGGTGGCCTGTGCTCCTTGATTTTCCTCAGCCAGGGCATCATGGAAGCCAGCTGCTCCCCAGGCCTTCACAGCTGTGTGAGGCAGCAAGAAGAGCTTGAGGGCTGTGCCTGTCACCACATTCCTGTGTTCCTCAGTACCCAAGGGACCTTGTATTAGTCAGCTACAGCTGTGTAACAAAGTATGTACCCTCAACTGGGCGGCTTAGACAAGAGAGAGGCGTTGTCTCACAGTTCTAGAAGTCTAGATGGTGAGGTCAGGAGGGTGGTTCTTTCTGAGGCTGGGAGAGAGAATCTGCCCCACTCTCTCCAGCTCCTGGTGGGTGCTGGTCATCTCTGGGGAACCCTGGCTTTCGAACACCTCCCTCCAACCTCGGCCTCCATGTCACAGTACCCACCCTGTATGTCTGTCTGCAAATTTCCCATGTGTGGTGGTGCACACCTGTAATCCCAGCACTTGGGAGGCTGGGGCAGGAGGAGTCTCATGAGTTCAAGACCAGCCTGGGCTACACAGTCAGTTCAAGGCCAGCCTGAAGTACATAGTGAGACCCTGTCTCAAAAAAAAAAAAAAAATCCCCTTTTTACATGCTAGGTGAGGGCTGAGATTTTTAACTTAATAACCTGTGAAGACTTTATCTCCAAATAAGGCCATCTTCTTAGGTACCAGGGTTTAGGACTTCCATGAATTTGGGGAGGAAGAACAGGGAGGAGGAGGAGGAGGAAGAAGAGGAGGAGGAGGGACAGAATTCAGTCCGTTCCTGGCCCTGGCCCGTGAAGCCAGCCCACCAGCCCGGGTCTGCACTCACCCTGGCCCACCCAGAGGTTTGCAAACAGACCTGCTGACCTGCTCCCCTGAGTCCTGGCTTGGGAACCACACTGGCCAGAGGCTGGGGACACAGACCTGAAAACCCAGCGAGGGGCCTCGGATTCTCCTGCACTCATGCTTGGGGTTTCTCCCACCTGGTGCAGACTCCACTCTGCCCGGTTGGTCTAACTCCTCACACTTCCCTAGGAAGGGTAGGAAGGGGCAGGGATGGGCGGGGGCTGCCCTGCTGGACCCCATGTAAATCTGTGGCCAGAATCTTATATGAAAGAAGCCTGTGATAGGGAATGGTATGGCAGCCCTGTGATCACCAGGGAAACAGGCTGCAGCTAATAAACTGCTCCTTCAACCGAAGTAGGTAACCTCATGGTCTCTGATGGCTGCTCAGCCTCCAGCCATCACATCCAGACCTTAGCTACTAGCAGAGAAGAGGCTTCTCCGAGACCCCACACATTATTCTTTCTACATCTCACTGACCAGAACTTAGTAAGGTGACTCTATAATCTTTTTGCTGGGTAGCTACAAGCTCAGTAAAGCCTGGGGATTTGTTATTAAGAAAGAATGTTGGGACCCACCAGTGGTCCCTGCCACACTGTGTATGAAGGAAAACTAGTTACTACCTAAATCCTCAAACTTATCCTTGGAATGTTTCTAAAGCACATATTTTCTGATTACTGGAGAATCTTCCCTTTCAAACACCTATTCCACTGCCTGCAAGGCATCCTGAGAACCCAGCCTCAACCTTCCTCCTTCCAGGACCTCCGGTGGCTCCCTTGGTCTGCACTGGGCCTCCCTGTCCTATGTCCCTATTCACCTCATACTTCTCCTTCAGAGCCTTTGGCACCTGGGCATTGTTGAATCACCTGGATTTTTTGTGTAACAAAACTCTAAGGTCCTCGAGGGTAGGGACCCTGCTTTGCCTCCAGTGCGTGACATCTCATAGGTCCCTGATGATAGGTGACTGAATTTCCGTGATTCAAATGCTAGAAAGATTCCAGATTTGAGGCCATTTCCGATGAGGCTTTTCCTTTCTGTCACCGATGTCCCCAGCTGAGACCAGGGCCCAAACAGATTCCTCCGTGCTGCTCCCATGCCAGGATCTAGGCAGTGTAGACACCCACAGCAGGGTGTTGGCTGAGGCTGTCAGACTGGGGAACCCCGCACACTCAGTGAAAGTGAGTCCCCGTCCTCCCCAACATCATGTCATCCCCAGGCCTTGAAGGGGAAGGAGAGCGGTGTGACGTTTGCTGTCCCCGTTGTGGGTAGACTCGGTCATGCTCAGTTTTGTATATGTGCTGCCAAAGCGAGCACCACGCTCAGCTTTGTGAGCGCTTCCTTCTCACTGCGATCCAGCCCCTAGATACCAGGGGAAATTCAGCCTGAGCCACTTAGCCTTAGCTTTCAGATCAAGTGTCTGTTCAAGAAAGGGTCCATGCTAGCAGCACACAACAAAGGAAGGGCCCAGAATCCAGATGACTTGAAAACTCACCTCTTCAAACTCGTCCCAGCTGTGTGTGGTGGCATACACCTGCAATCCCAGCCCTCCCGAGGCTGAGGCAGGAGGACCGAAAGTTTAAGCCCACCTGGGCAGTTTATTGACTTACCAAGACCTTGTCTCAAAATAAAAAAGGGCTGGGATGTAGCTCAGTGTGAAGGCCCTGGGTTCAATCCCAAGAACTGCAAAGATGGGAGCAAAACTCTTCCAATTAGGGCTAGAACCGCCTGCTCTCTGGCTGTGGCTTCGGGGTTCTGTAGGGTTCTGAGGGGCAAAGCCGTGGGGCCTCAGATGTGAGCGCTGCCCCTGAGCAGTTCCACAGGGCCACCCCCAGCATCCCCGAGCTGGAGAGAGGAGGCACCAAGATGGAGAAATGAAGACTTGTCTCCAACCTGCAGACAGACAAGAATGCCCCACCGGGCACCCCGTCCCTCCTGCCATCGTCACAGTATGACATTTAGTCAGGAAAATCTGAGAACACCCAGACCACTTCTCCTTCTACTGGGAGGCCAGAAATGAGATCACCTTGGGTGTGATGGGGATTTTGAGGGCCAGTGCTGAGAGGACTGGGTGGCCTTGTTTCTTCTTCCTGGTTTGCAAGATGCTCTTACTAAAGAGTCAGGCTGTGGGAGCCTCTTGTTAGATCCCTGGAAATCGGAAAGCTGCTTCAGCGAACAGGAAGGAGTTGGCCTTCACTACCCTGGTGCTGAAAGACTTCAAGAACACAGCCTCCTAAAGTACCAGGTCCCTTCGCTTGTGGAATAGAGGAGTGTAGGGCTTGGGAAGCTGAGGCAGGAGGATTCCAAGTTTGAATCCTGCCTGGGCAACTTAGATCTTGTCTCAAAATCAAAAATATGAGCTGAGCATTGTGAATGCCTGTAATCCCAGTTCTTGAGAGGCTAAGGCAGGATCGCTGTGAGTTCAAGGCCAGCCTGAACTATGTAGCAAGACCCTGTCTCAGACAAACAAAACTGGTTGGGGACATAGCTCACATGCAAAGTTGGGGTAGAGAGTGGGAGGTCATCCCAGAGAGGGCTCCCTCTGGAGAGAGGCACTGACCCAGCAGTGTAACAGCGTAATCTGCGTCTCATGAAGTCAAAGAATGAATTTGAGGACAAAAGAAATAGGAGGAATGTTTATTAATCTATCTATGCCAGAGATTGCAATTTTTTGAATTTTTGAGTGAAATTCATATACGTTAGCTAGAAAAAGTTAAAACAAAAATTTGAAGAGAAAATTTTTTTATGTTCCGTTGTTATGGGCATTCCAAAAATGTAACACTAGACATTGAAGGGTTAAGAGGATGGAAATAGCTCCCAATAGTCAGGAGAGGACCCGAAAATGGGTTACCTCAGAAACTCTTTGTCTAGGAGATTTTACTTCTTTTTTTTTGAGACAGAGTCCTACTGTGTAGTCCAGGCCAGCCTCAAACTCATGGCAATCCTCCTACCTCAGCCTCCCAAGTGCTGGGATTACAGGCAATCGTCACCATGTCTGGCATTCTAGGAGATTTTATACCTAAAAATGATCAGGGCTCAAACTGCACAGAGTGAAACTAAGGCCAACTACCAAGGACTAAAACAAGCTTATTTAAACTAGAAATGGGTCTATGAGGAGTTGAGAAATGTAGCAAGCATGGGTCTGCAGGTGCCTCTTGGCCTCTATCCTACCCAAGTGGTTCATTAAAAGAACAAAGCAAGAAGGAAAAACACATTTTCCACATAGGCAAAAGCACCTTCCTTGTTACCTCCCTTGACTTAATTTTCCACCTGGTTCTTGTTAACTCTTGACCTCAGGCTCCTGCTTATCTGACCGAGGCCTGGTCATCCTGACTACCTCAGGCCTAGTGCCTCTCTAGCTGCCTGCTGTCTTCTGCCTAACTTGCATGTCTGTAATAGACAACTCCTCTGCTCCCCTGTACCTCACTGCCAGGGAGAAACCCCTGAGATGGTTCCCACTGAGACCAGAGGGCATCATGGTGACCAGCACATTGGTTCATCTGAGGTGATTCTACAGTGCCCACCATGGGCTGCGCTCCTTACATCTCCAGGCACTTCCTGCTTCTTTTTCTAGGTCACCAGCTTCACAGTTGGTGTGAATCACTCAGCCAGGAGGCCCAGAGGCCAAGGCTGCCTCTTGGGGAGGGAGTGAAAAATGGGATTTGGAGGGGCAAGGTGTTGGTTTGCTCCTGAGGAAACATGTGAATTGTCATCAGCTTTTAGGAATGCTGGTGCTGGGCACAGAGGCTGGGAAATCCGTGACTCACCTGGTTTGCAGTTCCCCGCTGTGCTCATGCCAGGCCCTCAGTTCCCAGGAGGCCTTGGGCAAACAGACACTGGAAGCCATTTGCAGTCCTCACTGGAATTTGCTCTGTCAAGGGGCCAGGCCTCCTAGTGAATCATCAGGCAGCAGCCAGCTGTCCTGTGGACGATGTGGAGAAGAAGCCTAGGAGGAAACCATAGCTCAGATGTGAGACAGTGACTTTACTGTTCCCTGGGGAAGGATTATTCTGGTGGGGACTGAGGACTAAGGATCAGCACCCAATGATTTGGTTAAAGTCAATGCACCAAGTTGGCACCAGGCTGTTATCTTTGTCTCCCGGTTCTAGTTCCTGAATTTTTTTCCTTGTGAAAATATAGTGTCAGCATGGACTCACCTGAGATGGCTCAGAAAATGCAGAATTCTAACCTGCTCCTGCGGTCTCTGAGTGACCCTTCATTCAGGGATGATGCTGGGGCCTGGGGCTTGGGGTAAAGGCCCAGCAAGGGTGTCCCCTTTTGCAGACACTGGATACAGGACAGAAGATAGAACAGAGAAAGGTCCAGAAACTTAGGCCAGCCTGGGAGACAGTGATGGGGCAGCTGTCCTAAAAGTAATCAGGGCTGCAGTCCTAGCTTCCAGAGAGATCATCTACAAAGACAGAAAGAGGTACTCTGAGTCTATCAGTAGAAAAGCAGCAATGTCATATGCAAAGCTGTGGACAATAGACACACAAAAATGTCATGCTCTTAATTACTGACAGTGTAGGGAACTAGGAATTCTTATACCTTTCTTATAGAAATATAAACTGGAAAAACTTTGCTGGTTGGAACTTGGTAAAATATGAGGCAAAGACAGTGCTGGCTCTGTAGTCCCCAAGTCCTTGTTTTCCTCCTGTATATAAATGTAGAAAACTACATTTTCCCAGCTTCCCTTGCAGTTAGGAGTGTCATGTGACTGAGTTCCAGCCAATTGGAAAGCAGACAGAAGAAGTGATGTAAGCCACTTCCAGGCCTGACTCCAAAAGTACATGTGTGATTGTCCTTGCTCTTTTCATTTTTACCCCTCTGCTGAAATCAGAGGATCCAGCAGAAATCTCCAAGGTCTTGGAAAGTGGGACGCCAACCTAAGGACAATCCCTGGTTCTGAGCAGGTCTCTGAGTACTCTCCAATCCCAACTGGGTGACTTACATTGAACTGTAACATAAGAAAAATACATACCTTAAGCCACTGAGATTTGGAGGTGTTTGTTATAATATTTAGCCTTCCCTGAATGGTGTAGTATCGAACATGTTAAAAAAATCAAAAGCTTTGCTTTAGCAATAAATATTTTTGGAAGATATCCTAAGAAAATAATTGAGAATGATCACTATGGTACAGTATTATTAAAATAGAAAAAATAATAAATAATATTAATCTCCAATAATAGCAGATTCATTAAATAGATAATATACCTCTGCAAAGGAGTAATATTAAACATTAATATTGAAATGTGTTAATTAAGAGCAAGTATCAAAATGACGTGGAAGGTTTGAGCCCATAAATATTTATGTATGTAAATGTATGCATAGCAAAAGTCTGGGAATATACTTAAAAAGAGTGATTATTTCTGGTAATAGGATAATGAGTGGCTTTTTATAAAAAATTGTCCCTTTTCGGCAGTTTTTATGCTTTTTCTACAATAAGCATATATTTTTTTCAGTAGCCTGCTGGCGATGGATGGGTCTTCTTTGAACATGAAGGCTGAACTTGCTCTCCCTGAGTGGTGAGGATTCTGTGTGCAAAAGGAACTGAGGTCCTTGAATGCTCCTCTGGGTTCAAATCCCACCGTCCATGAGGTTAAATGTGGTTTGCTGGAAAAACAGCAAGTGCCCATCATACCATGCAAAACTTACAGGTGAAATATCTATTTGATCTCCACTAAGAGCAACTTTCTAGCCCCTCACATAGTATGGGGCTCAGCCCCGCTGACAAAGCACTCTGACTTTAAGGAAGGAAGTGCCTTCACCACACTCTTTCTCAGAATTTTCTCTGAGAGTTGCTAGGCCTAAGAACTCTTTCTTGGGGGCCCTAATTTGGATGCTTTCAGTAAACTGCACCAGAGGTCCCCTTCCCCCAAGAGAGCTGAATGACGCAGCCCTTGCCTCCACCGCAGAGCGCTGGACAGAGAATTACACTGTAACTATAGCTCTTTCTTCAGCAACCCAGCAGCTGCACCACAAAGCAAACTTGAGAGTCTGAAGCTTCCAGGGCTCTGACTTACAAGGTTAGTCTCTGCTGCCTTACCAAGTGAGCTTTTAACAGAAAGTAGCCCTGCCAGTTTTTGTTCTGACTATCTAAACATGTGGTCCTGACAAAATTAAGTGGAAACTGGATTTTTTCCTGTCAGATCCATGCTCATGTGGAGGGAACGGGCTACCCAGGCTTCCTGTGGAGGAGGGTCCTTCTGTGTTCCATGAGCAGACCACACATAAACACAAACCACCCATAAGTTTTGAGTGTAGTATTTAACTCACTGTCTTTTCAGCAAACCACATGCCTCCAAAATGAAGAAATGGAAGGAAGGAAGGACTTATTTTTAAAGTGAGGTCCTGGGGTTCTACATTAGCAAAAGGGCCTTCTCTACAGCAGATGAAAATCCAAGTCTGACCCTGCCCCAGGACTCTGCAGAGAGCCTACAAGAAAACCTTTGTCATCCTTTCTCCATTCCTCTCTAACTCAGATCCTACCTGCCCATCAGACTCAGCCAAAAAAATATCAATGGAGGCTTTCTGGGATAGCCAGCCCACTCCCTATCTTTCTTATATCCAAGTTCCTTTTGAGTGGATGTGCAATTTCACATTTAAATATACAGCTGTCTCCCATATCTGTAGGGCCTGTGTCCCCAAACCCTTATGGGTGCCTGAAACTGAGCCCAGTAACAAACCCTACATATGTTATTTTCCTATACATATATATCTATGATGAAGTTCAGTTAAAAATTAGGCACATGAAGAGATGAAAAATATTAGTAAAATAGAACAATTATAATAACATACTGATACTGCTACAGCAGTCTGTAATGGAGATGGTTTCTGAGTGACTAACAGGTGGGTAGTGTATATAGCATGGATCCACTGTGCAAAAGGACCATTTATGTCCCAGGCAGAGTGGGGCAGGATTGGCTTGAGATTTCATCACACTCCTCAAAATGGTGGTATGCAATTTAAAATCTACAAATCATTTATTTCTGAAATTTTCCATTTAATGTTTTTGGCCTGTGGTTGACCTCAGTAGGTGAAACTATGAAAAGCAAAACCTCAGAGAAGAGTGGGAGGGTGACTCTGTGAGCCAAGAGCCTATGCCCTCCCTATGAGTAGACACATTCCAGATTCGTGTGAGAGGTCAGCCTAGATTGTTTGGGGTCCTCTCACCTCATGTTCCTCTGTCCTCAGGTATTTGGAGCCTCATGATGAGTAGTGGCTAAGCATACAGGCTTTGGAGTAGGAGCTCTGTTTTGTCTTGAGCAAGTCACTTGCTCTCCCTGAGTTTTAGTTTCCTCTGAGCCTAGTTCCTTATTTTTAAAATGGTCCTAGTAGTCATGATGAGAATTAAATGAGAACATTCATGCAATGCACTTCACACTCAAAAAGTAGTGTTTCAGTATTTGAAACACCTCCCACCCCCTGTCCTCGAGCCTGATCTCTGACATGGATGGCAGCGGAGTTTAGGTGAGAGACCCACACCCATGTCTGGCCCCAGCCCACAGAAACTGGCACTTGCCACCTCCTGCTCATTCTCCGAACCCAGATGCCACAGGGTGAGGGAGCTGGTCCAGCTGAAGGGTGTGTCCTGGCTCAAAGCCCAGCTGAGGTTCAAACCAGAAGTCAGCACGGCAGCAAAGACACTTTCGAGATGACTCCAGCTGCAGCCACACCTGGCTATCACCATGGAAACCAGAGACCAGACACTCTGAGCAGGAAGCCACTAGCAGATCCCAGTCAACCAAGCTCCATGAACTACACAAATAACTAACTGTTGTTTTAAGCCAAGGACCATTGCCTAAGCTCTCTGGTAGTTTGCTGTTCACTATAGATATCTGAAGCCCTTCCATGAAGGTAAGGGAGTCTCATACTGAGCCACAGGGGACGCTGATCCTACTTGCCGTTTGTCCTTTGGCAGCTTGTCTGGAACAGATATCCTGTGGGTATTGAATCCATCAGTGGCCCAGATTCAGGTCTGCACTGCAACGAGAACAAATTTCGTAGCCTACTGCATTCAAAGAACTGTGTGCAAGGAAAGGCGTAACCCACATCCACCCACATCAGGTCTGCGTCAGAAGTCTCACACACCTCGCCACATCCTTTTGTTCACTGTGTTTTTCATGTATGTTGGATCTTGTTTTTCCAAACAGAATTTAAGTCTCTTGAGGGCAGTGACCCTAGTTTAGTTCTACTTTTAGATCATCAGAAAGAAAACAGTGATTATACTTAATTGGAACCAGCTGGGTTTACAAAAAGCCTAAGGCCACAATGATACTAGAAAGAAATGAAAAAATGCAGTGGTGCTAGGGGAAAATCACACTGCCCAATAGGAGCCTGGTGGTGCCCGCCCCCAAAAAGGGTAAGGAGACAAATGATTCTGTTATAAAATAGCATAAAAACGGTTCATGTAAGTGCAAAGCCCAGGCATTGGAGGGTAAAATTTCCCTAGCGACTCCATTGTGTCTTCTCATTGAGTAATTTGAAGTCACTAGAGAGTTCCAAGATGTAAGGAATATTTTATCTGTGGACCTGATGTAGAAATCTTGACACTTAGACCAGCCTGGGATTGTAGAGCTATTCGGATCTGAGGACATCTGCTGGCAGGGTTCCTGGCTGGAGGGGCCATCTCTGAGGAGTGTCCTGCAGTCCCTGGGACGGCTCAGATGCCAGCCTCGACCTGGAAGCAAGTTCTAGATTTCTCTCGCTCCGTGGAGCCATCCGCATGAGTTACCTGTCAGTCGCCAGCCAAGAAGCTTAGCGTGCTCTGCTCTGCGACAATGGCTTTTGTGACCAGTCACATGCCTGCCCTTGGGACGTCTGCATGGTACCCGCCTCCAGGCTGGGGTAGTGATACCTTCCCTGCACCCCCATGGCTTTCGGTGATTATTTAACCCCCACCTTTACCCTGCTGGGCTGAGCCTGTGTGCACCTCTGTGTCCCACAGAACAGGGGCTCCCTGGGGACCCTGCCCTCTCCCCCCCATTCCCTGGGGATAGCAGGACCCCAGCCCTGTGTTCTAAAGTTTTAAATGACCAAGTGATTGACCCCCCACCCCCATTTCCTTAGAGGTCCCGACCAGCACAGCCTGCTTGCTTCTACTACATTTCCTGAAGTCCTCATGCTCACAGTAGGGTAGCGGCAAGACCAGCTGCCTGATTGGTAGGATTCAGTGAAAAATGAAAATGCAGGATCACTAGTCCCAAATTATTAAGAACTTTAAATTCTTAAGAATTAGTAAATTAATTACTAAATATTGAATTAAGAAATATTAAGAACTTTAAAACAGTGGAGCATCAATCTACACAGAAGGCCCTTCTATGAGCTGGGGCTGTGTCACCTAAGGTCACAGGTTCATGAAGCTGGTTCCATGCCACAGCTACCTGTTGCTGTCATGAGCCTGGAATGCCATGGCCTTCCTGGTAATTACACAATCAATCTCTCTCTCTCTCTTTCTCTCTCCCTCTCCCTCTGTACTGGGCATTGAACCCAGGGTATTTTCACTGAGCTACTTCCCCAGTCTTTTTTAATTTTTGAGACGAGTTCCCCCTAATTGCTAACTTGCCCAGGCTAGGCTTGAATTTGCAACCCTCCTACTTTAGCCTCCCAGAATGCTAGGATTACAGGCATGCACTACCATGCCCTGCTTAATTGCATAATTTCAATTTGAGGGCCCACCTCTCTATCTCTCCATGTGGCTTGATGAGACTACCATCACCACTACACTCTCTCATGAGTGGGCCTCTGAGCTGGCCTGGCTAATGAGAGTATTGCATCTTCTTGGAAATGATTGGTTCAAGGAGAGTCATGTGACTGAAGCATAACCAATGAGAAGCATCCCTCAGAACATTGCTGCAAGAACGGAAGTGGCTTTTTGGGGTGCTGCTAACTTAGCAGGAAGCCAGCCTAGAGCTCATGAAGGTCACCAGTTGGGAGACCCTGGCTGAGAAAAAGTTGATAGTGAGAAAGTAGAGTTGAGATGATGGGTGTGGGGTCAGATTCCTGCCAGCATCATTTAAGCACTGGATTGACCTGAGCCACCCTTCCTCCCTTCCTTCCCTCCTTCCTTCCTCAATTCCTTCCTCCTTCA